ATGTAAGCGCAGGAGCTGCAATACCTTGTACCGCTGCCCAGGTTTTCGGGTTCGAATAAAGCGATCTTTGGAATCCTTTCCAGACCCGCCCCAAGTTGGATAAATCAGACAGGAAAATGGCTATCATTGCGTTAGGCGCGATCCACAACACGGTCAGCACGGTCGACCAGATGAAGTTGATGCAGCGTTTCCCATTTCAGGCTTTTGTGGGTCAGGGACAAATTATCCCAGATGATATCGTTGGGTCGTGGCGCTAGAGTGATCGTCGTGCCATGCGGATGCTTGTTTCGGGCAGCGTAAGCCACCGCATGGGCATTTTCGATTGATTCCCAGCTAGCGAATCCGTACGGCATGGCGTTGAGGGTATCAATCGATCCGCGAACATGCTTGATTTCAACTTCGAGGTCCCTAATGCGATCGGTGAGGTAGTCAATCGCGTCGACTTTGTTTGAGCCATGCTCCTCCTGATATTTTCTCGATGGACGACAAGTAGGTCGTCTCGAGGGGAGTCGGTCTGGATCTTTAAAATACTTGGCTAGTACTGCTTCAAGCTGTCTGACCGTCTTCTCATGTTCTGCTATCAGCTTTGGCAGGTGCTTCATGTTGCGGCCGGTCGAGGTTCGGGGTACTGAAGGTGTCACGTTGATCTCGTCTGTCAAGCGCAGAAGGCCCTCATCCGTTCTGTAATCTGGTGGTATATGCCTGACCTACATTGAAACGTAATATGAGCTACGAGGTCTGCTTAAAACAACGAATGTGTGTGATAAGAAAAACGTACCAGAATAGTTCTGGCATGGAGACTTTTCTGATACTCAGAGCTTTGAAAATAATGTCTCCTTAGAGCAGAGATGGCCTTGTAATTGCGCCAGAGGAAGTAGGCAACGATAATATCAAATACCCAGGCACAAACGACATGGCTCCATATGGCCCTGGTAGAGATAAACTGTGGGGTCATGGTCACGAAGGTATTGAGACCCGGCACTCTCGATGTGTTACTCTGAGAGACATTGACAGGAATCATGATGAAGCAGCCAATGATACTTGTAACCAGAAACATGTTCCGGCACATTCTGGTGAAGCGGAGGAACACTGTGGCATCGAGGCCAATGCAATCAACGAGCTGGCTTTCCGTCGTTTTTAGGACAGGAGTGAGCCAGGCCAACAGACCTTTGCCCAGGGGAGGGGGGGCATGTTTCCGGTCCGCATGCTTGAGTTTGGGAGCATAAACGAGGGAGTTGCGGGGACGAAATAGGGAGAATATCGCGGCGAGAAGAAGGGTCAGTCCTATGGATGTGCCAAACGACGCCCAGAAAGCATTGAGTTGGAACTGTTAAAATAAAACAAGAAAGAGTTAGCACAGTTAGCATCAGCATGGTTTGATGAAGAGGGTCTATCCGGATATACCGAGATATAGATGATGACATACAGCAGAACTGAATGGATTCTGGATGAGGCTCAGAAACTGGTCCGCGGGGGACGAGCCCCCGTTCTGGCGAGCTAATAATATAGCGCCCTCCATGAGAATTAAGGTGCAGGATATGTTAAGCAATTAGAAGCATCTATTATATATGGATTGTGCACAGTATCTTTCCTAAATGAATGACAAGAGACCAAGACGAACGAGCAGACATTCCCAGTTAAACCGCAGACGGTGATGCCATCACCAGGCTCCGAGATCCGACGTGAGCAGATGGTAGATGGGCAACAACCGACTGACGAGGATATATCTGGGATACAGGAGATGGATAGATAGATGGGTGGGAGGGTGGTGGAAGGACTCGAAGATGAATTGGAAGTAGTTGTACCGAAATGCTGAAACGGATAGAGCGGATAATAGAGATCCGCCGACGTGGAGATGAAAAAAATGTGGAGTTCAGAAACGAAGGATGTGAGAGAGATTAATAACCCAGAAAAATGAAGATGTGAGGAAGAAGTGGCAAACCGACAACATATCCAGGGGGGATTGCCAGAGATCCTCAATGTCTGCAGACGTAAGTAAAGAGCGGGGGAAAAGTGAAACGTCTTCTCTGGATAAATAACAAAATGAGCGTAAATGGGAAACTCGGGAGATCCAAAGAAAGACGAAACAAAGTTCTTCGAAAGATGGCTAAGAGAAGAACAAAAAATATTTTTAACCAAGGTTTCAAGGCAAAAGGCCAGCCGCGGATAACCTCTGTCTTCTGCAGAACATTGAATATTATTAGAATAGCCTTAAGAACAACTAGTCCGTTAAATGTCTCAATATCTTCCGTCTAAGCCATGCTATTGCTTGCTGCCTCTTGTGTGTGTGTTCTGTCTGTTGACTCCATGCCTGAGGGCGGCCCATTCGCATCAGCGCGCTGGTTGACCACTCACTGGCTGATGTGCGGGTCGTTTGGGTCGCAGGGTCCAAAAATCCAGACCCCCCCCCCCCCCCCACGACTGGCATGATCCACACTTGTTATTATTATCATTATTCATCCTTTTTCGCGTGCCAGCGGGCGAATGAAGGGCAGAAATGGGACCATGGAAGAGGAGCCGAATATTTCACAGGGGGGGGGGGGGGGGGGGGGGTTTACTTGGGTTCTTGTTGTAGTTTATCGACAACTTAGGGCTGGACTGATCACTTACGGGTTACTGGCTCAACCACCGGCTAATTAATTCGTCAGCGGGTCTCTTGGGACCATGGACCTTGTGGCGGGTGGAAGGGCGGAAACAGGGAAAATAATTTCATTCTCGTTTCGTGGATATAAAAATAACGGAAACGAGTAATATTCAGGCTCCTAGTTACCTGGGTAGCATTCCCCTCAATTCGTTGGAATCTTAAACCCTCAACCCGATAGTTTACAAGAGTGATGCGAGGCAGCGGTAATTAGAAGATTGTAATTAGTTATAAGTAGTTTAGTTACCGAAACCCCGGGGTCGTTAGCAGGGTAGAAAAAGGTTGGCTGTTCCAACATTCCTCGCTAATAAATGATTCCGGATGAGATGCAAATGCGACTCTGCCCGTTCTATGATAGCTATATCATGTCCACTCCGAGACATCATCGTGGAGGCCGTCGCTAGAAGATCCTAGTAAGCTCGAGGAAATCAACCATGGAAAGGGGAAACAAAATGCACATAGCAATTACGCAATCCTTTTTCCGTCCCCTCGCCCCCATTCTTTTTACACCGCAACGTTGGCTGTGGAGTGGTGCACTCCAGCAGCGGTTGCAACAGCGCTTCGGCTTTCCCTTTTCGCCGCGCATTTCAGTGCTCATGGCAGCAGAATTAAGGGCAGGGTTCCTGTGTTAAAAAGACGCTGGGATTTCTTACAGGAAAAAGGGGTAGCGGTTCTAATTCTGAGAGAACATTAACTACAGCAGCAAAGCGAACATTCTCAAGCCTTCACTTGGCTATCCAAAGTCGAAGCGTTGTTGTCCGTCTCTCTCCAATTGACTGATCGGTCTGCTGATTGCAACGTTTTTCGTGGTGTATCTGAAATGGTTAAATTTTGCTGCTCTCGTTATCTCACGCAGCTAACAAACACATTAGAACAATTCATCTTCTGACTGACTGACCTCACGCCCGAAACTGAATCCCAGAGCTGTTGTTGCCGCTGAGGATATGCTCATTTGCTTCTGTTATCCTCGGGGATCCAAACTTCAAATCTTCACCATCTTCTCCTAGAGCCTTTTTTTCTCTGTTTCACATCTGCCGTCGAAAAGAAAACCATTGGTTCTTTGACGCGTGAATTTCTCAAAAGTTACTTTTTTGAGTTCTACTCTGAATGATCAGCTGAATATAATATAGCCGCATACGGCCAAAACTTGAACTCGATCATCAGCAGACTTAATTTCTCAAAACACCATTCATTCCGCATGCCACTTGTGCGCTGTCCATTCATATCTATCCATACACATCCGGATCTCTCAGGTAAATAATGCGAGGTGCACCCCACCCGCGGAGACAAAAGTTAAGACGTAAAGGACCATGAGCCAAATGTTTGAGACTTCTGGCAAAATTCAACTTTGACCTGGCTTCCTTTCTGCGCTGCGGAGGCATCCTCACTGACGTTGCCGGGTTTGGGGCTACATACCAACCGATCGCAGCAGGAATCGTAACATAAGCGTTGTTGTGAAGATCCCCCAATTTAATAGGACCGGTTGCCATTTTCAAATATCTGTTTTGATGATAATGCAAACCAACTCAGCAGAGGCCGCTTGTCATGAGGGGAGAGATGTTTTGCAACGGCCGTTTCAAAAGGCAGGCCAACCCCGTGAGTTTGCAATGCAGGTTATCCTGCCCGCAGTATAGGGGGAGGGAGGAGATGGATGCTAAGACTTGAAGGGTTACGATCGAAGTGGAGGATTGGCTCGGCCCGGTATGAATAGAGGTTAATGGCCATGAACTTGATTGCATTCTGAAATAATGCTATTATCTATGAAGCAGTTGATTAGTTATGGCATGAACAAAAAAGAAAATAGGGTTTGAATGACTCCAACATGATTTCCGATCATTGCAATCGTTGCAGCGCCAAAAAGGGGGCCAAAAGAGAATCCCCAGCCCTGAAGTCCTGAAGATGAAGATAATCAATTCAAAATCGAATCTGATGCATGAAGACTTGTTCTTAAAGAGTGAACCTCAACTACAATCTGCAATGAAGGAGATTGGAATGTTTGCTAACACCTACAATCTACACATTTGCATTCTTGAGTTCAGTAAAAAAAGCCTTCCAACTTTTCATTCATCTGTTTATTAAGTGTTACGATATTAAACACATTCGCTTCGTCACTCGCTCACCTCATCATCAGTCATACAAACATCAAAATTCTGGCACTTTTCTTTATAAGCCGTCCCACCTGATCTACAACTGGTTAGAAGTATTAAAATCATCAAACGCCTCCTGAACTCTAGCAGACATAGTCTTCTCACCCTCCCGAATCCATACACGGGGATCAAAATACTTCTTATTGGGCTTATCCTCACCCTCAGGATTCCCAACAGCACTCATCAAATAATCCTTCTTCTTCAGGACAAAATCTCTCACGCCGGAAAGGTATGCATACTGCAGATCTGTATCCAAATTAACCTTGACAACACCATAGCTAATGGCTTCTTTGAACTCGGCCTTGGTGGAGCCGGAACCGCCGTGGAAGACAAGGTAGACGGGCTTGTTCTTGGAGGAGCCGGTCTTCTCTTTGACGTAGGCTTGGTGCTTGGAGAGGAGTTCCGGGTGCAGCCTGACGTTGCCGGGCTTGTAGACGCCGTGCACGTTGCCAAAGCCGGCGGCGATGGAGAAGTAGGGGCTGATGGCCGAGAGGGTCTTGTAGATTGTGTAGATGTCTTCTGGCTGGGTGTAGAGGGAGTTGTTGTCGACGGATTCGTTGTTGACGCCGTCTTCTTCACCGCCAGTGATGCCGATTTCCTATTTGCTATGGTATCAGCAGATGAATTGCCGTGATTATGTAGAAAGATTTTCCTTCATATGCTTAGATGGGTGTATGTGTGTGGGTTTTTTTGCAACTCACCATCTCCAGCCATTGCTTCATGGGGGCAGCACGCTTGAGGTACTTGGCAGTAGTTTCGATGTTCCATTCGACACTCTCCTCAGACAGATCGATCATGTGGCTGGAGAAGAGAGGCTCGTTATGGAGCTTGAAGTAGCATTCATCCGCATCAAGCATGCCATCCAGCCAAGGCAGCAGCTTCTTGGCACAGTGGTCGGTGTGGAGAACGACTGGGATGCCATAAGAAGGGGCAATGCTTCGAATGTAGTGAGCTGCAGCGATGGCTCCGGCAACAGAGGCCTCCTGTTTTCCATTGGGAACGCCCTGTTTTTGATTATTTTTTGGTCAGTATTTAAAAGTTTGCCCATGCTTGTCCTCACCGCGGCGTGTTGTTGAATTTACCTTCCCAGCGAAGAAAGCAGCCCCACCCTGGGACACTTGCAGGATGATAGGGGAGTTTTTGTCACGGGCAGCCTCGAGAGCGGCCACAACGGTGGAAGAGGAGGTCACGTTCTGTATTTCAGGAGAGAATTGGGTTAGTTAGACTGTCATGGCTGATATTGAGGGCGAGGAGGGTCAAAGAAGGGAGTTGGAATAACTTGGACATACAATGGCAGGGATAGCAAAGACTTTCTCCTGGGCATGCTGGAAGAGACGAAGGACATCATCACCAACAATGACACCAGTTTTGCGGGAGAGAATGTCTTTCACGCCCATGATGACTCTATGTATGTGTTCTTGGTTGGCAACTCGTCAGCGTGGTTAAGAGCGGAGGAGATTTGGTGGGATAACTAGGTCGAAATGGAAGAACAAGCTATGAGGATTGCCAGAGTTAAGTTAGTTTTGAGCTCAATAAATATAGAGTGTGATGAGAGAATTGGCTAAATGGCAACTATTAGAGCAAAGTATTGAAAAGAAGAGAAGAAACAGACACAGAGAAGTAGTGATAAAAGATTTAAATCAATGTTTGAGGCCAACGTGGGTTTTGTAGCATTGGGAACAACGGAGGGGGCAAACAAGATGACTGGGTCCAATGTCATCTCTGAGAAACGGACGGCAGCTAAATTGCGAGAACAGACAATAAAGAGAAAGAATGGGAGCAAACAAACCGGTTGAGTGGGGGTGATGATTGCTGGTGATGAAAATCTTATTCAAACAATCGAGTCCAGAAGCAGAAGAAGCAGAAAAAGCAGAGGAGAAAAAGGCAGAAAAGCGGGAAAATGAAAAGCGGCAAGAGATCGATATTTTCCTCTCTCAGTTTATCCCATCTCTCGTTGGCCTCGGTGGGGCAGTTGGCACAACTAGTTACAACTCGTCGCATAAACTGAATAATAATGATCTCTGCGAATCCATACTGCTGCTATACATAGCCTACAACATCCTCATCCCCATCCTCATCCTATTCTTATCTCCATCCTCATCCCAACCTCATCCCCATCCTCATCCTCTCCTCATCTTCATCTCCATCCTCATCCTCATCCTCATCTCCATCCTCATCCCCAACCTTATTTTCTTCTCGATCGCAGTCTCATCTTTCTTTCCGGTTCTCCCCGCAATCGTCGGTAACTAATTTAGTTGTGCGATCCACGTCTTTATAACTAGTTACCCAACACTCAACTTCAACATTCTTATTTTTCATTCCCAGGCTGCCATTGAAACCTAAAGCTCAATTGTGTGGATACAACTGCTTTATATGTGTCCAGTGGTGCTCGGCCTATCTCTATCTTCCTGCTATCCAATTGGCACAACATTCTTTCTTCTTATTATCGAATTCGACGTTTATGTAACAAACTAGTTAACTATCCCGAAAATAAAAATAAAAAAAATAAAAATAAAAAATAGGGACCGGCGCCTCGTGCCCCTCGTTCCCCACGTTACCAACTAACTACATATTCCTATATAGCACATGGCTAGCCATCGGAATAGCCTTGGAAAGTTTAGTTAACCAAACCAAGAGACGAAAAAAATGCGACTTTAACAGAACAGAAAGAAACCAAAAGAACAGGGAAAGACTCTAGATTAGGCCGAGCTTCGAATTTTTGTTTCCCCCTCCCCGGCTTAGTTAGTTAGTTAGTTACATCAAAAGCTCATTACATCATCCACCGCAACTTGTTGGCCCCATGTCCGTTAGTTCACGGTAACATCATATTGCGGATCATTCGGTTACAAGGGACTTTTTTAATGAGGATCAAGAGAAAGATTTCCTCTCAACATCTTAACACACACATATATATCTGTAGTGTAGCATTATGCGAATATACGTAAATTATTTCTCATTGCGCAGACGTTACACAACGAGACTGATATCCATGGATGGATGTAATTTTTGTGAGATTTGATCAATTGGGTTTTGAAAGGGATCCATCCATCCATGCTGAGAAACCCCGACACTTCGACGCTTTGATGATACCCATGATGGGTGTGAAGACGCCCTTCTATCCTCCATGCGGCTGCCGGTGTGCAGCCCAGCCTTCTACCTGAGGCAAAGGATTGAACAATTGAAGGCAGATAACATGCAGAAAGAAGGGAAAAAAAAAAAAAAATGTAAAGGGAAAATTCTAAATCTGGTTGTGTAAATGAGTATATTTTGCTTGGGTCATCAGTTGTTATTTAATTAGTTAGTAGTAAAAATGAACATGCATATTCATAATAAAATCACGCTTATCAAACAGGATCAGATTCCAAGAACATATGATCTGTACTGGCTCATCACGACCCCCCAGGCGCATCTAGAGGTTTCCTGCCGTACGTGAAATGTACCCAGTTGTACATATGTATCTCTCGATTCTTGATATCCGCTCGCACCCCGGCTATCAGCACCTGTGTCTCTGCAATCGTCCACCCCAGAATCTTCGTGAATAGAAAGAGCGAGTACGGCTCCAACGCCTCCAGGACCTGCAACTGCTGGAACCGACCCAATTCCTTGAACTTCTTGTCCTTGGCCCAGGAACCGATGGGGAGCTAAAACCAAAAAATAAATAAATAAATTAGACGGAGATTTCAGCACAAGAGGAGGAAGAGTGTTACTGTTAAAAGGGATGGAGTAAACGGATGAGTAAAAAAAGGAAACTGAGGGGCCTGGAGGAGGGTCGGAATATCCCACCTTCAAAACATTGGTCGAAACATCCTGAAATCCAACACTCTTCAACTTATCCGGCAGAGACGGGACGACATTCAACGCCTTCCCAAACTTTGCACTAGATTCCAATACTAAATCCCCCCATCTCACTGCATTTTTTGCCTTGGAGAGCGTTCCGTCATCGCTGTAGAATGCTGGTTCAATCGATTGGATCTCAAAGAACCCGCCCGGAGTCAAGTGCTTGTATGCCTGTGCGAATAATTTGTCAAAATCTGATATCGATCCGGCTAGTTCGCGTGCGTGGATGAAGTCGAATGGTCGGCTGTAAGGCCATGCTGCTTCAAGATCGTCGATTTCAAACGAGCAGTTCGAGGGGACCCTGATGGAGGAATACAGTGTTGGTTCTCCTTATCTCCACAAAGGGGTAAGGGGTTTCATGCATATATGTCAAAGGGTTTTTTGATTACCATGATGGTTGGATGGGGCTCAGATCGTTTCCTATATCAAAAACAAAATGAGTTGGGGGTTAACATCTATTCACTACTGCATCCAGCAACAAGGGAAAATAAAACAAAATAGAATGGAATAAAATAAAAAAGTTAATGCACACCTATAACCTCTGACTCTGGGTGTGCGCTGCAAGGAGAATCGTCTAAGTTAGTTCTAATTTACGAGAGATGAAATCAGATTTGAGGATCGCAGTGCTCCTCACTCTGCGAAGTCAATTGCCCATATTCCTGTTTTAAGATGTGTCAGGCAGTGCTGGGAAGAGCTAAACAGAATTATTATATGGATTTAGGCATGCCATACCAGTGCCTGTACCAATATCAAGAACCCGCTGTGCATTCGATTTAATCGGCGAAACGTATATATCACCACCTAAAAGTAGTTTATATATATGATGCGTCTGAGTTCCGGGTTAGATGGATCTGTTCCTTCCTAAGGCGCAGTTCTCGAAGCTCCATGCTTCGAACATGCTTACCAAGTCCATTCGATCTTGTTCGATTTCATCATTCGGCTGTCGGATGTATTGAGGACATATTAGCCACTGGTTTTCCCAGGATTAACCCGTGGTACGTCATTATTACGGTGAATGCTCACAAGAATATATTCGCCCGCACGAAATGAGTTATAACGGCGTCCATTCTATGTCCCGGAGCCGCAATTGAACATTTCAAAATCAGTAATCATCCACCCTCGAAGCGTGATAAATATCGTTGGAATGATGGGGATTCTAGGATGGCTAGTGCATGGTGAAAGGTTGCACGAACCGCATATCTGGCATGCAGTCAGGATATTTGAAGCATAATAGAGCTGAGGTCAGAATGTAAATCCTCACACATAGTTTTTAACGCTGGAAGCAAGCGTAGTTGCGTAACTGGCGCTGGCAGTGCTGTAGGAATTATCAACAATCGTCCTCAGTAACACTGCCATCATCCATTATAAGAAGCCAGTGCGAATGGAAAATTCTGAAGTTGACTGGAACATCCGGAGAACTCACGAGCCATTGAAGGCAGAGTCCGTATCATCATTCTCCTGCGCACACCCGGGTCAGTCTGGGTCGGTGTTCCAAATTGAAAATGAACCAGCTCCCCTCTCCAGACATACATCTGCTTCAATATTCGGAATTGCAACTTGCGCTTCACTAGTGGTAACCATGATGAATAGTATATTAAAAATATCCCAAGTTCAATGATGGAATTATCCATTTAATGCCCAGAATCCGGCAAAGGGTACGGATATTGATGCTGCTCTTGACAGCAGAATCATCAGATCTGAATCTTTCAGCTCCGCGTCTGCAGACGCTGGGGGAATCCGTTTGGATATAAAGCAGGTCAATTTAGCAGGCTTGACAAGAAGAATGCTGCTGGACGTAAACTTTAGGGGCGCATTATTGTTCATTGTCAACATGGCGCTAAAAGTAAACTATCTGCATTCCACCAATTGTGGCCATCAAACTCAGAGTGGATGAGCCTTAGCGTTCTCTTTTCTTATTCTTTTTTATCACCAACCCGCCAGGCTTGTCTGGTGGCATGACCGCGTGGGAGGCTAGATTGGCCTGGGAGCTTCGCCGGAAGTGCAACATGCCACCATGTCAATTAACCGAGGGCCACCAAATGGTGCATCTTTCAAACTGCTCCACAGCAATGGCTTTGGCCCCCCGGGTAGTTTGCAGTAGTTCTCAATCCCGCTTCCCCGTAGCTGCCGGCTCAACAGCCAGGGTGAGCCAGGGTGAGTTTGAGCGGTTCGGATTGGCTGCAGAACGAGAATCGTGCTCACGGAGCGGAGATGTGCTGACAACCCATAAGACGGACATATCCCCCACCCTGTTCAGTGAACTCAATTACTCAACAGTGCAAATCAATTTGTCGTGCCTGTTAATCACATCATTGGTAGCCGAGAGCCTTGCTGCAGTTTGAGGCTGAGGATGAGCAAAGCGTGGCAGCTCCATAACTATAGTTAACTAGTTAACTAAATCACTCATTGGACCATTTTTGCACTTCTGAGATTTTTGATAAAATTCAAGCTTCTGGGTGACAACCGTGCTGAAACTTGAAACTTGACATCTTCCCTTTCTCCATTTTATATTGTTGTATTTAGAATATCCACCGTCCTGTCATGTCTAAGGTAAACCCGCCAGTTCCCCTCATTCGACAACGGATCCTCCCAGCCTGCTGTCTATTCCGGGATTGGCTGTCGATGCCACAGAAAGCGGTGACAAAACAGCATACGCAGAATGCTTCAATATGCAGCCAAATTCCTCTGGTCGATGCAAGCAGGCTTTTCAAAGAAGCATCTAAGGAACCTTTGCAAGGTTGCGTATATCCCGTTGCACAGAAATGCTTTATCGGCATCAATCCAACCAGTATCAAAACCTCCCAGTTCCTGGTTCTCTAACCAGAGCCTGAATTATGAGTTGGGCGTGTTGGACACAGGCGCGTGCGTCGTCTTTGTGGTTCACTTCAAACTCCGTTGTCCCCAAACTGCCATTGGATGATACAGCTTTCCCTTCTTAGAACAAGCTACATGAACCGCGTTCTTGGGTTCATAGCCATGAACCAGCCAACAAGTTTCAAGCAAGGCTATGGACCCGAAAATGTGGTTGACGGCTGGATCTGCTGTCTCCATTCATGTTCACGATGCAAGGTTCATTAGACATTTGCGGGCGAAGGAGTTGAGGAGGACGGAGCGGCATAACTCAATTATTCTCTCATCACTGGTTGGGTTTGGGAAGTCCCCTATATATCCATCCACCCTAGCATATGGAATATTCGAACAATGTGGTTTTTTTGCTATAGTCTGCCTGGCTCCATTGTGTCTGTCTATGAAACGCAGCGTAATTCCCGCTCATCAAATGGGATGAACTCTCAAAGCGCATGTGGATATTCTGTGCAGATATCACTGCTTTCTATTGTGGTTGAAGCCGCAGAGAAAGTTTCTACATCCTGCACCCGGCCAGGTCATGCTGCTTGGGGATTTTCGACGTCAGGATAACCCTACATACCCCTTGTAAGGCGTAGAATGACCATTCTGTGGCAAAATATCCCTGCCAGTGTGGCTACAGAAACTTACAGCGGCAGGCTCTGCTCAGATCAAGTCCGTGGGTGGCCATATCTTGCACGTTTAGGAGTTGTGATAATGGAAAATGATGTCCTGAAGGATGAACAGTAAAACCTGAGAATCTAAGAAAGGTATAACTACCAGACTATGATGGAAGAGTATTCATGCCACGCAAAATCTGGCACTCTATTAATACTTCTCACAAAGTTCAGTCTACCAACATGTCAACAGAATGATCATCAAAATCTTAATGCACTCTCTTTTACCCAGCTCAACCCTGCCAAAAACCAATTACTAGTCATAATTTCATTCATCCTTCAGGACTCTGAATTTGCTGCTAAACGGACCCGGCCACATGGATCTTCTCCCCCGTGTATCCATGGTATCAGTTTGAAGTGGCACTCCAACCGTGGGGTCGGATTTGTCACCGACTCAGATCATTGGCATGTTGAGAGAATTGCATGCGGCGCGGATTCCATTATGGCTTGGACATCTCATAAGTAACAACAGCCGTTGATAGGGACGGCGTTTGAAACAGAGAAAATTTGCCTTGTGATATAGGAAGCAATTAAGTAATATCCTGTTCTGCGAATTATGAAGAGGGATCATCAGCTGAAGAACAATAACTGCACCAGATCAACTGGCTTCCCTAATGCAGAGATCAAATCGGTATTATACCACTCGATTTTCCCACGTCAAGACTCGTTCCCTCTGACATAACTACACACTCCCAATGTTGGCTGACGGCTTCACAGCGCTCCCCAAGGCTCCTGAAGTTCGTTTTCAAATCCACCAGCACCCTCATGATGATTGAATTTTTTCATAGTCGGATCAAACTAATGTTTATAGCAATGATGGTTTATGCAATTTTTTCCCCCAAACTTTCCAGATGCAGCCTGCTCCAGTAACTATCACAACTCAAACATTGAGGGAGAATACAGTTAATCTTGGTCAACCCTGTCTTTGTTCGATATACAAACCACTGCTACACTTGGCATACCGATATGATGCCAGCATCAGCAAAAATTGACACCTGGGTGTCTGCGGTAATCTGGTGGGTGGAAACGGGAGAAGAGGTCCACATTGCAGAGATTCCACCCATAACTCCAAGTTCAAATAAATGCTTTAACTCTTATCAGACATATGGAACGGTGTTGATTTTGTTTTCTTTTACCAATATATAAATATTACCCTTCATCGTAATACTAAGTCAGCATAAGGTGTACAACATCGGATTGAGGCGAGCCGTGATTCTATCGGTTAGGCATCATTATTTCCAGAGACACATATCCAGATCACATCATACGCCCACCCGAGGTGCTCACGTTGATGCTAATAGAAACTAGGGTTTTTTACTTCTTTTTGAGAAGCGCTGCCAGATATTCAACTATGCAGTATTATTCCCACGGCTGGCTGGTTGGTTTCCCCGATGCAGCCATGATTTCTCCTCCGATTCTATAGAGATACGTAACAAACTGCGCAATATAATTGTATTCAATAGCTGGCAAGATAGGAAATGCTGGACAGAATCATACATGCATTCAAAGTTCGTAGGATACAGTGCGTTCATAAAAAAACTATCAAAGACTGTAATGTGGCAAAGGTAACGTGAAACACTCAAACTTCGCTCGTCAGATATATGGAAGAACCTGGCCGTGATGGTTGGGATTCCGTATCTGAAACGCAAGCTGGATGAAGGGTATAAGAATATTTCGTACCTTTGTCCGTCACCGCTGTAATTGTCAAAATTCCAGCGCAAAGCAAACAGTTACTGAGCCGGCTCCATCCGAAATACCCTGTGGAGTTAAGCAGCCAGGGTTCATGTCCCCCACACACAGATAACTAGATGTCTCATGCAAGTTTGAGATAGCAACGTTCAGAAATACTGACTTTTTGACTTGGCCCAGGTAAACCCACATAGATATGCAAGTGTATCATATTATAGTAGTAATGCCATCCCTTCATCATCAACCATGTCGCTGGGGAGGCCTTGTATGCATTGCTTGGTAGAGAATTAAAATAGAGATAGAATCGAGAACGAGAGGGACGAGGAAATATACTTCAGTCCTTCAGAGAATAAAAAAAAAAAAACATGGAGATAGCTGCCTAAACATGCAAAGGCGATGAAGATCGAAAAAGAAAGCTTCATCAGCAAGAAAATAAAAGGGCTGCGAGAAATGGAAGAAAAACAGATACTCCAACTCCCACCAAGTAAAATGGGATAATCCTCACCGGTATTAAGAACTATTTCTCCCTCCCCCGCTTTTTGTCCTATACAGCTACCCTACCCCCAAAAATATTTTGTTGCAAACTCCTTTTTTTGTTTCAGTATCCCCACTCAATCTCCCCAACTGGCGCTCACATAGTCGAAGCTACTGCTCATCATCCTCCGGTCTCTCCATCTCGTAAAAGAGCAAGTAAACCTCCCTTTGCATCCCCAGCACATCACTAGTCTTGCACTCCTTAACCTTATCATCGCTGATTCTCCACCAGCGGTCACTGGGCCGTTTTTTCCATCGTAACCGCGATGGATTGCCTGTTCCTGGCCCTGTAAGTTTTGCTGCCTTGGTGATGGACTGACGTCTTAAAGAAGATGTACGTGAAGATGTAGCAGCATTGGGATCTGATGGAGATGGTTTGAGTCGTGGGGTGACTGGTGAAGTGATGGAAATATCCCTGCTTTCTTGTTGCTCTTGCGATGATGGAGTTGACTGTGGTGATGTCGGAGATGGCTGGGTGGGTGCTGTGTCATGTGTGCTGGTTAAAAGATGAGAAGAGGACGTGTGTAATGAGGGGACGGGGAGGGAGGTGCTGGATGCTGATGAAGATTGGGTATCGTCGGACATGCTCAGGGGACTGGCCTCTAAGTCTTGGGCAGCAGCTGTCTTGTGTTTCGGGTTGATACTGGGGCTGGGGGCGGTGGACGTAGTCCGACTAGGAGAGCGACTTTGCGAGTAGGAGCGGAAAGTGTCTGGGGTGGAAAATGGGGCATAGAGGTGATTGCGTCGAAAAGACTCGTAATGGCCGCTGTGGTGGCTGCCCTTGTGGCATACTATTCCTAGTAACTTATACCATTTCTGGTCGAGGATGCCGCCGATAGGCAGTCGTTCCGGGAACGAGACCTTAGCGGCGTTCTTTGAAGAGCTGTTCCGGTCAAATATCGATCGGGATAGGTGTATGGCTATTATTTTAGGGAAGGATGTGATTCGCATATGTCTCGCGATCTTGCGTTTCGGAACGTTCTGTGTATTGGGCATGCTCACGCCCCTGGGGATGGTTTCGGGGTCAATCTCCAGGGCATGTTTTATGAGCGATATCTCATGATCCCAGTGTTTGATTTCCCTCTCTGATAGAGCCTTCTTCCTTGCGGCTTCTTTTATTTGCAGAGCGTGGAGGAGGACACACTTGCCGCATCGGAAATCATCGATGTACTCCGTTTTGAGCAGCCCGTCAAAGCACGAACTTAGAGTAACAGAGCTCTTCTGGGGCACTTGGAGCGTCAGATTGACGAACGAGGTCGGGTTTGGTTTATATTCAAAATGGCACGATTCGCACTCTATTTGAGATTCCATCTTCCCTTCAAAAGGAAACGGAAACTCCGTATCCAAAGCCTCAGCTCCCGTGTCCAAGGACGGCGATCCGTTCTCTAATTCGGAATCACTATCCCCAATACCAGATCTACCCATAGGCTTTGCTTCCAATATCGAATTCGCCACACCCGCTTTGAGTGAGGATGCAGCTGCCCTCTCCCGCGCCTTAACACCGGCATGGTACTCATCACACAGGCGCTCCGCAACAATCTGTAAGAATTCCTGTGCATCCTGCTGATTCCGGCTTATCCGGGTCTGAAACGCAGACT